TATACTTCTAAACGCATACACGCGCAATCACTGCTAGATTAGAAGCGTGCATATTGCATGTATCTAATACTCGTTCCGCAGATGAGTCAGCGTGAGTTTCTTTCGCAACTTTCTAACGTCATTTACCTACTGTATATAACACGTTCACGAATCCGTGTCCGCGTGCGTGTAAAACCGAGAACACGAAACAGGAGCAAAAACAAGAACAATTTGTTCTAAATGAGAAGCGCAATTATTATCTAACAAAAAGTTGTGAATTCGTGTCTCGTTGAAAGTTTCCCCTGTCGCATTTAACAACCACAATTATTGTAACTTCAGCTTGTTTAATATGTATAATCGTACTCTGTTCTATTTTAACATAACATCGTGTATGACAATTCCTGTTCCATCTCCAGATTACTAGTAATTTGTCTAAAAACGATGTCCTAGCAATCGTTTTCATACTCACTACGAGCAGATCCGAACGTCCTGTTGATCGAGGCGGAAGCAACGGATCCGCATTATTCTCCTTCTCTCTTTTCCTTGGTCGCCGTTCTCGCTCTCCTCCTCCCTAGTTCCAGTCTGTCTCTTCAGGATACCGAGGCTAAGGCCTTTGGAACTTGGAAGTCTCCGATCTCCGGTCAACGCTTGTCCACTCTCTTCTCGCTTGTTCCTCTTCCCACCCGAATCTACCTTCTCACTCTTCTTCCTTTCACTATTCCGTCCTTATCCCACCGGCTCTCTCCTTTTCCCACTGCACACCGTCCCTCTTCTCTGTTCTTCTATCACTTTCTCTCCCGCCCTCACTGTCTTCCCTTCTCTTTCCTCCTTTTCAGCTCGATTATGGAGTTTGCACTACTACGGTACAGTACTACACCCAGGGGCAACAACACGCGTTACCCACGGCGACCGCGACGCGACGTATCCTCATCTTCAATTAAAATCCTTCCGTTATTATACACGTTCCTTTCTTTTTTTATTCTTTTCGATTACACCGTTTTTTAACTTAATGTCGGTGATTATGTCCAGTTCGTCAACGGGTGCGATAGAAGATCGACTACGAAACTGATTCAAGTAAAGAATTTATTTTTATAGTTCTGTCATTTTACAATATAAAAAATATCTTTTTATAATTTTGTATTATGTCACGCAGTATGAATTGTTTTTTTTCATGAAAAGGAAATAATACAACGATTGTTGTAGAAATACGACTGGCAATTGATTGGCTGTTTCATTCGATGGTTCTGAAAATCATTTGCTACTTCTGTACATATATTTCTCTTTCAATGCTAAATCGTTATAGAATTTCGATTAGCAAACCAGTAAGCTTGTCTTATCAGATTAACCATATAAGATGAATCATGTTTGATCAGACTTTCGGCTTAATTACTAGAATTGGTCGATTAATTAACTGCATTATAGATAGTCAGATTAATAAAACAGTTTTCAGATTAGTTAATCAGATTAGTAAAGATGTATTAAGTCGAAGATTAAAATTTCTCATTGTTATATTCTTTTTTTTATGCAAATTGAACCAGACAGAAAATTGTATTTCAGATGTTCTTTTATCTATCAAGTGTTGCGATATGCATAAGGCTTTCGACAGTACATTTTTAAACGTTGCAATGTTTAACGTTTTGAAATAAATCCATCGAATCTGCAGTTTTACTCGTTTAGAAAATATATTGCAGTCTATAATAATCCTCACTTTCTAGGCTGAAAAATTGATAGATTGTTCCTTTTGACTGCGATTGTGTTCGAGAGCTCTCGATTGTATAATACAATACGTATTCAACAGGCGGTCGAACGGAAAAACAACGGTCGTATTGCACAATCGCACTCGCAATCGCAGTCGCCGTCGGTTTTCGCAACGATTTCTTGTTTAAAGTTTAAATAAACCAGGTAAATATAGCAGTATCGAAAAAAACTCGGTGAAAATAATTTATTAACAAGAATTGTACATAGGACGACTGTGATATCATCATTAAAAAATCTTGTTTACAGAAGCCTATTGATATTTTTCTCAGCAACAATGACAAGTAAAAAAGCAAAGTGATTGTCTAATGAGTTGCAAGTGAGAAGTCAGATCGACGGATTTTATGATGGAATAAAATGATTACAGTTTTAGGATTGTTAAAAATTCAATGACTCAAGTTGTAAAATATTGATTAAGGAATAAAATCAAATTGTTATCTACGTAATTAATTACAATAATTCTTACTGAGATTCCATTCTAATTCCATAGTTTATAATTAAATTCTTCTCTACCTTTCGTACTTTATTCCTTTGCTTTACACATCCTCAGAATGATAACTGAATTCCACTATCGTTATTCACTATTCAACTTTCATCTCGCGTTTCCTATTCACAAAAGCAATTGAATTCTGATAGACATGATTAATGAAAATAATAAAGGAATTCCATTGACGTTAATCAGAACTTTTCTTAAACACGACTCCATTGACTAATCTATATTTAATAAATGTCACAGCCTGTTGGTCGATGTACGATTATTCATCCTGAAGGAATGCAACTCAATAAATTAAATTTAAATACGTTCTTCCACAATTTTGCTGTTTCAAACAAATAATTGTCAGTCATATCGTGCATTTAAATACATTCAAATGAATGAACACCATTTGAATTTTAACAACTAGACAATGCTTTATATTTTAGTGTCTCACAGAGGTAATTATCGGTAATTATCGAATATGCCATGTATTTAAATACATAAACGGACACAATGTGAATTCTAGTAATTATAGATCGCCTGATAATTTTCTGTCTCCCATAAATAATTGTTGGTAATTATTTAAACCTGTTTATCCCCATTGTAAACGTCGATCGCACCTCAAACTTTATACATTAAGATCGCGGTGACTGACGGACGATTCACTCTTTACGAATTCCAAACGGACGGTGCGACGCTCCGCGCGAGACTGAGGACACGTAAGCGAGCGCAGTACGAGTTTCGGAGGCTCCAGTGATTTTCGACCAATCGCCGACTGGCATTTCATACTTCGGTATGTATTAACGCATGCGTGTTAATTGGGATTGGGAACTTGCGATAACGATAACTATGTCGTATAGAATAGTGCATATACAGTTTTATGTGTGTACTTTTATCAATGACCAGGGAAGATGTGATGGATTGACAAATAACAGCTTAATAGGTGTACGTAGCTCTGTTGAAAAGTCTTGTCTCCAACCCCTGTCAAGCCTAAGAAATGTTAAATTAGGAGCTATATTTTAATTAGAGGATTATAATCAGAAATTAAAGTAATCATATAATCACGAATAGAATTGTACTTCAAATAAAAAAATAGAAACAATTTTCTTAGCTATAGTAAGTTCAGTAAGAAATGAGCATTCAAATCTATCGAGGAATCTAATAAATATTCAGAAGTTCTATTCTAATTAAAAAGATTATAGTAAAAGATTTAATAAANCTATTAATGTTAGCGACAAACTTTTATACAGAAATTGTAGATCTCGTCGCCGTCCACAAGAAAGGTTGTATGCAATTTTTCCGTATCTCCAAGGGTTTAGGAGTTATTGAGGAAAAACGAAATTTTTTTCCAAAAGTTCGCCGTTTCGACGCTGGGATGGTCGGATTTTGTCAACATCAATAAAATGCCAAATAATGATACTTAACTCGTTAAATATCGAAATTGGAAGAAGAATGCACTATTTTTAATTACAGGAAATGCGTTTTTCTAAGGTACATAAACTTTTGGGATTGACTGTATAGCCAATACATCCTTAACGCCCCTCGTCCAGTTATCGACGACCAGATGTAAATGGGTAATTTCCATTGAATTTATGCTGTTCTCCAAACCTAATTAGAGTTTCGTTAAAAAAGGATGACATACATTATTTTCGTATAAACGACAGTTCCTCGTGCAGTCAACAGACTCTAAGTATTTGCAATTTTATGGAAGTATCAAAACCGAGAAAGAGATCAAGGCGTTGCATTGAAGTAACGTTTGCACCGAGATGAAAAGTAAAAACCTAGCGGATTTCCTTGACACGCGCGCCAGTCGTTTCACGCTTTCAGAACATGCTTTTCACGCTTTTCATGAACTATGTTTCATGTTTCATACACCTTCAATCAATAAAATAATTAATTTCTCTTTCATCCAGTATTCAATATCTCATCAGTTTTTTATGTTTCAGTCAGAATAAATTTGGTATTAATCTAATTTTGTATAACATAGACAACGAATTCCTATAAGATTTGTCACGTACTTATCACGGTGGGCGTATCATAAGATTGTTTAATCCAACTTAATTAAAACAGTGCCTGTTTGCTACGAAAAATGATATCCAGATCGCGTTACACGAATAATCTACAGTGCATACGATGAATTATAAAATTGACGATGACACATGATAATAAAAAAGTCACAGAGTATACTAAAATAACATGTTCACGTATAATTCAAATTGTTAATATAGTCCAGAAACGTAATAACAAGATCGTAAAATAATGAATAATTGATACTCAGCAACTGGTTCTTGAATAAAAATCAACCTGAATGCACTTATCATAAGATTGATTAGGTAATTGGATTTTCTCGAGGCGCAGAGTTGTCCGTTGGTTCGCTGCGCTGACTCGATTTACCCACGGTGTTGCGATGCAATTACGCAACAATTATTGCGTCAATTCGTACGGGATGGTGTTCCCATGCCATTCTGTAACTCACTCGTTCATTCATAGGACGTTTCAGAGTAATTGCCGGGCGATATAATTAAAATCGAGCTAACGAGGCTACCTAGGTACACACTGGCTTAATTGCACGCGATTCACTCCCGATTTCATCATTCGCAATTACCCTTTGATGAACCTGTTAAAAAGCACTATGTTCAAATAGTAATAATAAATTATTACTGATAAATCTTAATAAAGAAAAATTTCAACAAGAACTTAATTTCATATTTATTTTAATAATTTTGATATGTCGCTATGACGTTCTTTCATATCGTTCATGTGAGCGCATATTAAATCGTGTGATGGAACGGCGAGTGGATCTTGTAAATTCGTCGACGGTTCACTGGAAATGACAAGCTGGAAAATTACAGTGTCGAGTGAAACGACGTGTGCATGTGCGATATTTGTGTGTCGGGTACGAGAAGGTTTTGCGGTAACGAAATATCGATCGCTCGGCTTTTCCAGACGAATGAAATATTTACAAACGGACTTACCCACACATCGCTCTGAATTAGTTATGTGACAGGTCAATAACCGATCGATCTATGCAATCAATCACGGAAGTAATCATTGAACTAAAAATTATCATAGTTTTCAGATATTATAGTAACAACCACTTCNTACGTACACTATACACTTGCTATTATGTACAATTACAATTTCTCCTTAACTGGCTAAATTTCTCTCTCCCATTTAAATATTCAGGGCAATGTTAAACAGCAACCGACAGGACTTTTGTACAATATTCCCCTTAAATCTTATTAAACTTCATCGATTAGGGATTATTAATTTAACTGACTTTAGAATTTTGTTGATTCGTTAACAGCAGTGCTCGTTTGTAGGCCTTTCTTTCGTTTACTGTATTTAATTATTTATAATAATAACAATTGACTATGAACACTAGGGCAGAGGGGCAGCATTGTATTCAATTCTCGTTGCGTGTTTATTAAATTTCTAAATTAAAAATAATCGGCAGATTGATTCGCGTATCAACGAAACAATGGTTTCATCTTAAAGTTCAAGATTGCAGCGTTCAATTAAATGACTATGTGCAAAATGATGGACTGAATGAAAGTTCGACGTTGAATGACAGATCAATCATTATTGGACGTCATTTACTATGTTTGATAAATGATAAAAATCGAACTGCTATCGGCCAGTATTTACTCGATAGTTAATAGTAGATCGTCACCCTCTAATCTCATACCCTGATTGACGTCCAGCGTCTTTATTTTGCCAGCTTTAGGTGCTTGAACAACCATTTCCATCTTCATGGCCGATAGAACAACCAACGGAGCTCCTTTCTCTACCGTGTCGCCCACTTTCACCCTTATATCGATTACCGTACCCGGCATCGGTGCTCCCACCTGGTTCTTGTCACTCTTTGCTGCTTTCGGGTGAACGTGCAGCTCCTGGAAATAAAAGACCAACGAATCGTGACACCGAAATATAATAGAATTATGATTAAAAAATAACAATAAAAAAATACGAAATATTAAAAGCTGAATATATTTTATGACATTGCAATAATAAAAAACATAGGATTTCCATTTATTTTAAATAAAATAAATTAATTGAATGATATATAGAATAGAAAATCGATCTTCGACATACCTTAACAGCTTCTTTGTCTTTGATAAAGACAGACCTGAGTTGACCATTCATTTCGAAGAACACCTCTCTCTCGCCATTCTTAGTTAAATCTTCAGCGACCGCCAGAGTCTTGATACCCAACGTTTTCCCTTTTTCAATAGTCACGTCGAACTCTTCTCCGACTTTGGGACCAGTCAAAAATATCCTGGTTTCTAGTTTGTCGACGGGACCGTACTGGTCCCTGAAGTTCAAGTAGTCGTTGGTCACTTGAGGGTAAAGGGCAGCTGACATCACGTCCCTGTTCGTGACGTGTGGGTGAGATTCTTGCAGTTCAGTTTTAAGAGCGTTGAAGTCCAAAGGCGGCAAAGTGGCACCGGGCCTTCCTCTCACTCTCGGCATATCCTTCAGCACCTTCGATCTGTAAAATAAGCATTATTTTTAAATATGGAAAAAGTATTGTTATTGAATTAATGTTTAAAGTCATAGAATTACGTTAACAATAAAATATTAAAATTAACATACCTAAGAGGCTCAGGGAACCCTCCATAAGGTTCTCCGATAGCACCTTGTAGGAACTCGACTACAGACTTAGGAAATGATAATTCTTCGGCCTTGTTCAGCACATCATCCGCAGAAAGTTTATTCTGAACCATGAACTGCGCCAGATCACCCACGACTTTCGAGCTGGGCGTGACTTTAATGATATCCCCTAGCAATAAATTCGCATGTCTGTAAGCTTTCTTCACGTCCTCGAAGAACTCGCCCAGACCGAGTGAATACGCTTGGAACTGTAAGTTGGTGTACTGTCCACCAGGAATTTCGTTCAGGTAAACGTCCGCGTTACCAGATTTCATTGTAGTCGTGCATTCGAATGGAGCGTACAAAGTCCTCGTCTGTTCCCAGTACGCCGAGTACTCGGACACGTCGTTCAGATCCAGTTTCGTATCGTACGGAGTACCTGTGAATTTTTTATAAACATTGTTTAATATTATAATTATGCAATTAGATTTTTCATGAAATAGTGTAACATTGATTAATAAATTTAAATATATTGATTAAAGTAATATAATAG